GCAGCGAGGCCAGCTGTAGGCGACTCCATTTTCCTTGATAATTGAAAGCGTCTGCTGCACGTACAGCGCTCACTTAATCAATCAGCTAAACAGTCGATCAATCAATCAGCCAATCAGTCAATCAATCAATCAATCAAACGCAAGAACAGCAGGTCACAGCCAGCTGCAGCGCAGCGGACGCGTCCCTTTGATGTGTGTGCGATTCAGTTGCCAGCTAATTGCAATTAGCGTGCGCGACTTTGACAGCTCCTACGACAACAACAACAAGCCACAATAACAACAACAACAACAACAACAATGGAAATAACAACACGCATAGGCAGCGAGGTCAAGCTGTTGCCTGGGGCCAAGGGTTAGGGTTAACTTTGTCAAGTGCAATACTAAAGCAAAACGAGTAGCAGGCAGGAGTAGTGCAGTGGGGTATGCTCGACTAGCAGATACCTTGACGTGCTTCGATTCGAGACTAAAGAACTGGAGACAAACAGCCGAGTTTGGATATGAAATAAATCTACTTTGCTGTCTCTCGCTTTTGTGGTCTTCATGGCTGTGGCTTTCAGTTATCGATAAGCCGCAATTGAGTTGAGTTATCGAAGCATACAATGATATATACCGTTATACAAGAATATCTATATTGATAATACTTCTAGTCTCTAGCTAGTCCACAAATAAACGTGGTTACATTCGACTGTGCATTCCCTTTGACAACATCTATTTGTGTATAGCCCTTAGGGCCACTGTCGCGCCCGCACTAGCAATATACCCTGTAAAAGCAGCGTAATACAATGAAGCTGACAAAGCTTAACCAAGCTAAGATTTTACTAGCGAACGAGTTGAGGCTTACGAGCGAGATGGGCTTACTTGCTGCTAGCTGACAAGCACTTGATCCACATTGTAAATGCCACGTCTTGGCTGACAGCCGCACTTACAATGTACTTGTTAAGGATGTGCATTTAACATGAACTTTACCATGAACTTTACAAATTGTGGCCAAAAACTGCTTACAACAATTTCTCATAGTCAAATTCACTTCAGAAATTGACAGAGTTGCCAGACTATGTGCAGAGTTGCCAGACTTCAGCAAATTAGTGTAAATGTCAAAGAGCCGAGCGCTGTTTTGAAGGTTTCCAAATGAACTAGCAAATGGCATTTCGCAATGCTGTCAATGCAACACCCACACTCACACACACACACACACATGCCCACAGCTAAGCTTTTGTCAGGTTTCTGTTTGGTTTGGATGCTGCAATCAGCGCAATATGCCACAAAGCAAGAAATGCCAGAGCATGAAGGGAAAGAGGTAGCCAGAGAGAGAGAGAGATGGAGAGGGGGAGGGAGAGAGGGATATGAAGAGAGGGAAAGAGAGAGAGATGTAGAGCGGCACGAAGATAAAGAGGAATAGAGTGAGGAATAGAGAGAGGAAGTGAGGGGGAGCTAGCCAAGCCAGCCAGTTTATATTTCCTGGCCAGCACACACACACACACACACACACACAGACAAAGTGTGTCAAAGCAAATGTGGCATGTGGCAACATGTGGCCACAGACAGTAGCTGAGCAAAGTCGTGGCCCGAGTTGGGCTTTTGCATTTTGTGTCTTTTGTGTGTGGCTCGGGTTGTCGGGTTGTCGGGTTGGCCGGATGATGGGCTTGGGCGCGTTGCCAAAGTGCCTGCGGTTATGCGGCAATGTTTTGCACTGGCAACGGCATCAAGGCTGTGCCACAGAGCTAACAACGTGCAGCGTGCACCGTTACGAAACTGAAACCGAAACTGAAACTGAAACGAGCCGCATTAACGCCGTCTTTAAAATTTATGATATTTACTCGAAGCAGCAGACGCCAACGCTGCATCGAGCATTTCACTCGAGGCGTAGCGGGGGCGGCAGGTGCACGCTGCAGGTGCACGCTGTATTGTGGCCACGTGCCAGGCAACTGCTGCCTGCTTAGCTTTGCCTTTGCCTCTGCCTTTGCCTTTGCTTTTCGCTTTGACTATGCATTTTTTATGGGCTCACATCAAAGCCAACTAACTTGGCAATCAGAGCAGCTGCTTTGGCCAGGCCAATGAGGCAGCTGCCTCAACGAATCAACGATGACTCATCGGCCAACTAAGCAGCTGCCCATTGCTACTGACTTACCAAATACCCTGTAATCGTGTTGAGTTGGCCTTGCTAACCGAGCTTCCCAGTGAACCAGGTGAAGCAGTTCAAGTGCGAAGTCACAGGCTTTTTCTTTTTCTAATTCAATCTGTGTGTCTTTCTCTTTCCCTACCTCTCTTTCTATCCTCTTTCTTTCTCTCTCTATATATCACTTTCTCTATCTCTATATATATCTCTATCTATATCTATAACTATATCTATATCTATATCTATATCTCAACACATCTTGTGGATGTCTATGTATATATATACCTATCACTCTCTCTCTCTCTCTCTCTCTCATTCTCTGTCTCTTGTACTGTCACTTCCTCAGTTTCGCCTTCATTCACTCTCTCTCTTTCGCTCTCATCCTTTTTCGCTTCTCCTGCCTCGCTCGCTCTTTTCTTTCTTCTCGTTCTCACTCTCTATGTACTTGTCCCTCTCTGTCTTTCCCTCTCTCTCTCGTTATCATTTACTCTCTCCCTCTCTGTCTCTCTGTTTCGTTCTCACTTTTACTATTTCTCTAGCTCAATCTCTCTTTCTCTATTTGCCTATCTTCAATTATTTACTTCTCTCTCTCTTGCTATCTCTCTCTCTCTCTCTCTCTTTACCTTCCCAAATTCTACCCCCGCTTAGCCAAGCATAATACCAGCCAGCTTCAATCTGAAGCTTGGTACGCCTCTCGCTCGTTAAGTGCATGCTGCCTCTGCTCAGGATGTCTTGCATACTTCATGGGGCGAGCGCAGATTATGAACGGGGCTGAGGGCGGACGGGTGAATGTGGCATATTATGCACACTAACCAACTGCCTTCATTCACTATGATTGGCCTTTCAATTTCAAAGCAATGCCCCAAAGGCCACAGGGAAAACTCAAGCAGAAGCAGAAGCAGAAGCTAAAGCTGAAGCCGAAGCAGCTGCAGCTGCAGCCTTCACATTCATTTCCTTGGCTGGGAAAAGTTTTATCCTAGCTGCATTTGGATTTCAGTTAAAGTTCTTAACTCAGTGCCGCGCTGCCCGTGCACCTGTCAACACCTGAGCTGAGCGGCCGTCGCCTTTACTCCTTTCGCAAGGCGCTCGCATCGTTTTTTGTAATTTTCTTAAGTGTTTGTCTGTCTGCCAGCTAAAATTATTAGCAGCCATGTTCTGTCGTCGCTGCTGGATTGATTTTACTGCCGGCGAGGAGGATTACGTCGTGTGCGCCGGCCCCTGCGCCTGGCCCTATCACGCCACCTGCGCCGCCGTCCCACGGGAGCTGGCGCGTGAGTTACGTCGCAGCCGCTCCAACAACTTTGACACAAACTTTGCCAGCTTCGGCATCGGCTTGGGCTTGGGCTTGGGCTCCAGCTTAGGTTTGGGCCCAAGGGCCGGCTCCGGTTCCAGTTCCGGCTCCGGCATGGAATGGTATTGTCACAATTGCCGTCAGCTTTATCGCCTGCAATTGTACTTTGAGGTAGCTATAAGTGAAACGTGCTCCCAGCTCAATTACGGCTAGAGATAGAGAGAAACAGATGCAGATACAGATACAGATACAGATACAGATACAGATACAGATACAGATACAGATACAGATACAGATACAGATACAGATTACAGATACAGATACAGATACAGATACAGATACAGATACAGATACAGATACAGATACAGTACAGATACAGATAACAGATACAGATACAGATACAGATACAGATACAGATACAGATACAGATACAGATACAGATACAGATAACAGATACAGATACAGATACAGATACAGATACAGATACAGATACAGATACAGATACAGATACAGATACAGATACAGATACAGATACAGATACAGATACAGATACAGATACAGATACAGATACAGATACAGATACAGATACAGATACAGATACATACAGATACAGATACAGATACAGATACAGATACAGATACAGATACAGATACAGATACAGATACAGATACAGATACAGATACAGATACAGATACAATACAGATACAGATACAGATACAGATACAGATACAGATACAGATACAGATACAGATACAGATACGATACAGATACAGATACAGATACAGATACAGATACAGATACAGATCAGATACAGATCAATATACAGATACAGATACAGATACAGATACAGATACATACAGATACAGATAACAGATACAGATACAGATACAGATACAGATACAGATACAGATACAGATACAGATACAGATACAGATACAGATACAGATACAATACAGATACAGATACAGATACAGATACAGATACAGATACAGATACAGATACAGATACAGATACAGATACAGATACAGATACAGATACAGATACAGATACAGATACAGATACAGATACAGGTATAGATACAGGTATAGATACAGATACAGATACAGATACACAGTATCTGTATCTGCATCTGTATCTGCTTTATTCATAATCTTTTCTTCCTCATTATTATAATCGCCTCCTCTCGCTTTTCACTTGTGCGTTAATTGCTGTTGCTTTGTGGATTTCCATATTGTGCAGTGCCACGCCCACTGTCGCTCAGTCTAAGACCCGCCCACCTGGTCGACTGTGCACTTGACAAACAGATTTCCAGCGAAGTCGCCATTTTTAATTGTAACTGTAATTTAGCCATTGTGCTTCAACACTTTTGATGACGCACTCTCTCCCTCTCGCTCACTCTCTCTGTCTCTCTCCCCATCTCACGCTCCTTTGTGCTGTGTGAGCACAGCTGGCAGCACTTGGCGTATGTGCGTCGTGTTCTTTAGCTCAACTTGAAATTGTTATTTTTAGCATACAAATTGCGTGAAGCCTCTCTTTCTCTAACCCTGCCACTGTCTCTATCTCTCTCTCTCTCTCTGTCTCTCTCTTTTGCAGATTGCCATCTGTGATGATTACAGCCTGCCTGTAGACTTTGTTAAGAAACGACCGTCCAGTTTCGATCCCTGCCTGGCCGAGGCAATACCAACGAATCCGGAGCATTGGATAGCACCGAGTCCACAAACAGAATTTGTAAGTATAGCTCTACAATGAACTAGTTCCACTAAGTATAGTTCGTAAGTAAAATAAAGTAAAGTATATATGAAGAACTTTGTGAACATCTGAACTAGTTCACATTCGAGCAACTTAACCGAAAGCAAGTACTAGTCGCAAAGTAACTATGGGAACTTATAACAAATGAACTGGCTCTTAATGAACCTAGCTCCGAGTCCTAGTTCCTTAATCTTACACAACTTGAATAAAACCTTCAATTTAATTTAGTAATTTTATTTTTATAAGCTGAGCTCATTGAAATGAGGAATTCAGCGTAATGTATATGTAACAGTCAGCAGGAACTAACCCTCATTATTATCGATAAGTATCGATAGTTTCCATTATCTCACTTTATTCAGCTGCTGAGCTAAGAATAATTTGGTTTTTTGGCTACTTTCCTGCAGTCGAGTGAACTTCTTAGACTTTGCAAGAATTTGCAAACGAAAGTTGTTACTGTGAGTGGCTCTTCTGCTGAACTGAACCAGTTCATGAACTTGTGCATGCAAAGCTTAAGCAAGAAGCTAGACTTCATGGAAAGCAGCTGCTGCCGCATTAAAGCTTTCAGTGGAGTGAATAAAATCTTTGACAGACTTTGAGGCGGGGGCTGCAGCTGCACTTGGAGCTGGGCATTGGCAAAAAGCAATTAACTGCCCTTGGGCAGCTAATTGATAAACTGCACGCACCGACGAGGACGACAGCAATGTGGACGTTGAGCGCATCAGCAATGCGCTAATGAAAAGCATGAAAAGCATTTTTCTCATTGCTCGGCGTACTCCCCCCCACCCCGCCCCCTCCCATATTTGCGAGCCTTTTGATTATTTAACCGGAGCGAACAAAGCGTCGCTCAAACAATGCACAAAGTCCATTGGCTAAATATTGCGAAATAGCTGGAAAAAATACAGCCATAGCCAACCCTCGGCTGCTGCCGCCCAGCGGGTGGTCAGCCATAAAAAAGGAAGCTAAAAGGGCCTGAGATACTAAGTATTATGAACACATATATACACATATATATATACATATTGGGAGAGAGAGGGAAACTGAGCCTGAGGCGGGCAGGCCGTGTGCGAGGAGCCTGCAGCAAATGTTGCCACAAATCAAATGTTGCGCTGCCAACGCTGCCCCTCGGCTCTGCTCCACATGCGCCACGTAACCCCGCCTGCCAAAAATCTCGGCCCGTTATCTCGAGAGTCCGCAAAAAAGTTACGTTACGGCGTTTTTTCTTCTATATTCGTTCAGTGAGGTGAAGAGCGAGCATATTAGTTTGACTTGCCTTGCCTTACATTACTTATATGTATTATATATTGTATATAGTGTATATACAATATTCTAGATATGCACAGGTCTATAGTCTATGGGGCGTATGCCTCTTGAGGCGTGGCAAGTCTAGTGCACACGAACTGCATTTAGCACAGTTGTGGAGAGAATTCATTGATCCATGACTGATCCATAGATCTGTTAAACCAAGTTAAAGACAATTGTGAGTGAGCGAGCATTATGCAGTCGTTGCTAGCCGTTGGCAATAATCTCTGATTTTTTGTGGTCTCTCTTGCTGGGGCTGGAGTTTGGAATTTCGTTTTTATGGCCTCATGCGAAATATTTGTGCTCGTATTGTGTGTTTTGTTTTGCCTCGTGGTTATCCTGGCTGTTGTTGTTGCTGCTGTTGTCCTTTTGCATATTGGTCGTAAAGTGAAAGCGAGAGTGAAAGCGGCTGCTGCACCGCCCTGGCAGCGCATAAAAAATGTTCCTTTGCCACTTGAATTTCTTTTTATTGAAATTTGTTTAGCCGCAAGCGCCCAAATGATTGTGTGTGTGTATTAGTGTGTACTAGTGTGTGTGTGTGTGTGTGACAGAAATTGCGCAGCAAATGTTTTCATTGGCTTGCAGATTGTGGCTTGGCTGCCTCGCATAGAGCTGGGCAACTGGCAAAATATTCACTTTCGATTCGCTTTCGTATTCACAAATATTCACTCTGAATAGCATATGAGTGTGACTGAATATTCATTAGCGAACATTGTTTACCACATTCAACACATTAAACGGCCAATTAGATGTCTCCGTCTCTGTCTCTATCTCTATGCCTCTCTGTCTTACTTATCTCATTCTCTTTGACTGTCTATCCTTTTCGATCTGTTCTTTTGTTGTTTTCTCTTCTCTTTGACTCTCTCCCTCTCTCACTCTCTCTCTCTCACTCTCTATTCATATCTCTCTCTCTCTCACTTTTCATATCTCTGTCTCTCTCTCTTCCTTTATCTCCCTCTCCCTATCTGTCTCTATTTCTGCTTCTCTGTGTCCCATTTTCTCTCTTTCCTTTCTTCCGTCTATCACTCCCTCTTTATACACCTTCCTCTTCCTTCATACGTCATTTTGTCCCTCTGTAGACTCACTTATTCACACTTATCTCCCAATTATGAGTCATTCGTAAACGTTTTACTGGCTGCTCACATATTGAAGCGCTGCTCTCGGCGCTGTTCGATGTGCATTGCTCTATACTACGCAGCACTAAGCCGATTTCTCTTCTTTGCTGAGTGCCAGACACCCTCGCACCACCCTCGCACCACCCCGCTCCCCGTCTAAGTGCTCGGCTCCCCTTCTCACGTTCGCTTTCAGCCGAGCCAATGGCCCAAAGCGTTAACGTTTAGCGCCTCTTCAACAGCGTTCCATGTATGCCATGTCCATTTGGGCACACTCTTCTCCTGCTCCCACTCTCTGTCTCTCCCTCTCCCTCTACCTCTCCCACAGCTTTACAGTTATTAATGTAATTTTTATCTTATGACTTTTGTTTTGCGTAAACAGCCGCGACGCGTGTTCAGTTCGCAAATAAAAAGCTGCAGGCCATGTGTGTGTGTGCGTGTGTGTGCGCGTGTGTGTATGAGCCATATAAATGCTGGCCATGTTGTTGCTGTTGTTGTTTTTTTGGCACACGTTTTAATGGCAAACGCGCGCGACATTTTTGCGATATGAAAACGTTGGCTCGACCCGCCCTGGCACGCCCCTTTACTTTGCCCCCTCCCCTGCACAGCGTCGCCTGCGCCTCTGTCTGGGCTGCATTGTGAAGTGCACTTGGGCAGAGCCGTTGCCAGCTTTAGCCTGTATTACTCTCCATGGAGCAATATCAGCGATAACTCAGCGAAAAAATCAACAACAGCACAACAAAAGCCACCTGTGTGTGTGTGTGTGAGGTTGTGTGTTGCTGCTGCTGCTGTGGCCTTTTTGTTGATTTCAATAACTTGGCTGCGGGCACCCTTGCTGCTTGTTGCTTGCTGTCACAGCTTACGTATTACTCATACGCCGCATTGTCTGGCTTAGAAACTGGAAAAAGGCGAGACAAAACTTAGCAAAATTGCTAAAAGCCAACAGACGAATTAGGAATACGCTCAAGCCAGACAACGTGCAGAAAGTTAGAGCATGAGTGATGCTACTTTCGATAACATTATTGGCGCAGCTGTTTAAGTTATCGATAAACAGCAGCTGCAGCGTCTTAAGTCTGTCAACTGTGCGTCTGAGCTGTGCATAGAGTCATATAAAAGAGTCATATAGAGTCAGTAACAGCTATGGGCTCTAAGACAAACGCACAGACGGAGTTTGGTAAGAGGTGAAAGTGGCTAAGATCTATAGCTGGAATAGCAGTAGATAACGTTTAAGCCAAATCAAAAACAAAGTAAAGTCTCTTATATGATCAACTCTATATAGGCAGATATATATACCATATGCTTATCTCTTATTGTCTCTGTATAATATGAGAGGTATCTCTGCTGATGATGGTTGAGTGAAGCATTGCTGCAGCTGGAAGCTGAAGCTTTTTCTTCATAGACATCAGCATTATCTAGTCTTAAGAGTAGTCTGATATTATTTGAGTTTGCACAGTTGTGAATACCTGTTGGTTGGTGGGTTAGTGTATGCAAACACTGCTCAGAGGCATTAGGCGTGTGAGGGAGACAGAGTGGGAGCAAAAGAGACAGCTATGCTTGTTAGCTAAGCATAAAGCAGAACAGAAATCGTTCATGTGTTCGGCGCAACGTTTAGAAAATGGCGAAGCAGCTCTTAAGTCTTGTCTGCTTTCAAATCATCATCATCATCATCATCATGATGGTGATTGTCAGCAAACATTTTCATCAGCCGCAACATCATCTGGCAACGTTTTCATTAATGTTGCCGCATAAAAATCACGTTTGCTGGGCCAACAGCAGCAGCAGCGGCAGCAGCAGAGGAAGAAGCTGCACATGAACAAAGAGCCTGGGACACATTCGTCTAACCATTTTGATTGTAGTTTGTCTAGCCTGCCAGCTAACAGTCTCAGCCCACCCCCACCATGCCACGCCCCGCACTGATTGTTGGCAACATTTTGTGGGCGGGAGCCAATCGAAGTCGTGTAGGAAAATTCACGTTTGCCAATAATCAAGGGCAAATATTTAAAGAGCAATGTGTGTGTGTGTATGTGTGTGTGTGTGCACAACATGTGAGCAAGATTTCTATTCGAATGCCCCAAGCCCCAAGGCAAACAGCGCAACTTGGAGATGTGAGCAAAACACGATGATGCCAGAATCGATTAATAGCAAAGCCTAGAGAAGACACTTAAGTGAAGTTATATAAAAAGAAAACTTGTTATCGATACACTTATCGATAAATATGTTAACGGTAATTGCTTGAGCAATGCTGGCAAAGAGCGAACGAACTTTTTAGAAAGGTTTTTATAATAAGCTTCCCTGTTTTTGGGTACTTCTAGCTCTATGAGGTCAGACATATCTTTCATATTCCGATATATTGAGTATCTACTTCATTTCTCATGCGCTTTCACTTTATCTTCTTCTTCCTCAATACTTTTTCAAAGCAAATTTTGATTTGTTTCGAACTCTTTAATTAACTTAATACATGCCTAGCTTATAGTTTCTATAACTAAGGCTAGTTTTAACTAAGTTTGGCACGCGCGATTGTTGCACAAGGCTCACGCGCTCAGCTCCAAATGGAATTCGCAAACAGCTCAAGATCAACCCCAAAACAAATCTGCCATTTATTGAGTGTGTTTAGATGTGTGTGTGTGTGTGTGTATGTTTTGCATTTAAATTTTGTATTGTCTTGCATTTATGAGATTTGAATTGAGTTGAGTTATCAGCAGCAGCAGCAGCAGCAGCTGCTGCTGTCCGGGCAACGTGAGCTCAAACAAAGCCGTTGCCAATAGCCACAGCAGAGGCGGCGCTTGAAACAGGGGCTATATACATATAGACATGTATATATATATATTTGTGCCTGTCTCCTCTCCCCCCCTCCCCCTCTCTATCATCGATTCGATGAGCTGCCGCAGTTGAGGCTTAATTTATGAGTTTCAATTAAAAATTCCTTTCAATTTCAAGTCGCACAACAATAGCGTCCAGTGCTTAGTGTAATCCGACACCCAAAGAGCCCACACACAGACGCACACCCACACTCCTACCACCTACCCGCCTCCAACCCCAGCTGCCAGTCTTGGCATCAATTTCCGCAACATGCAACATGCCCAGCTCTGGCCCAGCTCTGTTCGCTCACTCCATTGCAGCGGGAATTTATGTTTAACAATAATGCGCATATTTACGACTCACTCTCTCTCTCTCTCTCTCTCTCTCTCTCTGTGTGCTGCTTATAATGTGTGCACATTAGGGACACGTTAATGTCATTTGCTGGCGTTGTTTGTGCGACCTGCTGTTGCACTTTTGTAATGTTCAGCTATTTGTCATCCTCTGGCGGACATTGTCTCCTCTCATAAATGAAAGATGAACAGCAGCTGAACCATGCTGAACAGAACAGAACTGAACTGAACTGAACTGAACTGAACTGAACTTGAACGGAACATGAACGGAACTCAACTGAACTGAACAACTGTGAAAGAGGAAGCAACGAATCGAACATGATTTCTGCATGGCAACAGCTGAGCAATGTGAGATTGATGGATGTGGGAAAGAGAGAGGGAGAGATAAACAGAAAAAGGGAGGGAGTGAAAGAGAAACAGGAGAGAAAGAAAAAGAAAAAGAGAAACGGAGAAAAAGATAAAATAAAATAGAGGGTACCTTGGTATCACTCTTGACAGAAGGCTGACTTTTAAAGCGCACATAAGTCAAGTAACCTCAAAATGCAAAAGCAAGCTAAAAACCCTCGACTGGATGCTGAGAGCTTCAAGCAAGTTGTCTTACAGCAGCAAGGCCGCCATCTACAAGGCAATAGTTGTCCCAACCTTCGTATATGGTATCTCTCTATGGGGCTCCTCGGCGAAGACTACAAGGAACAAAATTCAGACCCTGCAGAATAAAGCACTACGCAGATGGACTGGAGCCAGCTGGTTTGTAAGAAACTCAGTCTTACATAGGGATTTAGCAATTCCCACAGTTGCTGAACTCATTGGGCGACACAGTTCAAGATACGCGGACAGACTTGCAGCGCATCCTAACCATCTCGCAAGCAACCTGGCTATAAACAACAATAGGCGAAGACTGAAGAGATTGCATCCTCTAGACAATATTAGAACTAATTAAGATAGTAGCTACAAGTGCAGAATAATTGGCATATCTGCCCTCCCATTAGTTAAGGTTTAGAGCTAAATGCGCTATAGAGTCTAAGACAATAAGCTGCAACAAATAAAGAAATTAAATCAAAAAAAAAAAAAAAAAAAAAAAAAAAAAAAAAATAGAGGGAGAGAGAGGAAAAGAGAGAAAGAGGGTGAAAGAGAGTGAAAGAGATAACAAAAGAAAAAGAGAGAAAAAGGAAGAGAGTGAAAGAGATGAAGAGAAACCGAAAAAAGATAAAATGAACAGGGAGATAGAGAAAAAGGGAGAAAGAGAGTGATAGAGATAACAAATTAGAGAGAGAGAGAGAGAAAAAGTGTGAAAGAGATAGAGAAAGAGAAGAAGACAGAGAGGTACAATAAAAGAGAGAGAGAGAGATAGATGAAGATAAAGAAAGACAAATGGGAAAAGAGGGAGACAGAGAAAGCAAGCGAGCGAGTGAGATAAAGAGAGACAGAAATGATAAATGAAATCTTTTTTTTTTTTTTTTTTTTTTTTAAATGAAATCTTATGAAACAGAAATCATTCCATAGAGTTTTCGTATGCTGAATATTAAAACTAAAAAGGTCTATTATTATATTAATATATCGAGTAGTTGCAAGAAAGCTACCTACTTCGTCGATGAAGATGTTCAGAATTCAAATTTCTGTTTAATCGATGAGTTCGTATGAGAGCTATTGCTCATATGAGTTACTAGTTCAGGTACTAGCAGGTGCCAGGTATAACACCTTTTTTTTAGCTCGATTGCTTTTTACTTTTGTTGTCTGTTTCGATAAAGGAAACCCTTGAAGCGCTCAATGGGCTGAGACCTCAACACGCACACACACACACACACAGCCACATACATTTCGACCACAGGTCACGCCCAGTGGGCGGTTACCACATGACGCATGCACAAATTTTAATTAAACGCCAACAAATTGGAATTGAAACGCAAATCAAATTAGTCGCAACCACAAAAGCAGAAGCAAAAACGAAAACGAAACAAGAAAAAGGTACAAAATGTTAACTCATTCGCTTTTCGCATTTGCCTTTCACAGCTGCCATTTAACGAAGCCCAACAAGCGTTGCAACAGCAACAGCAACAGCAACAGCAACAACAGCAATCGACAGCAGCAGCAGCAGCAGCAGCTGCGCCACCGCCGCCGCCGCCACTTGCCTCCTTGGCAACGCTGCCCAGTCAGGCGACAACTGCAATAGCAACTATTTTAGGCAGCAGCAACAACAACAACAACAACAGCAGCAGCAGCAACACTTGCCAGCAACAGCAGCAGCAGCAGCAGCAATTGCATGCGCACAACAACAACACATTGCCATCAGCACCGCAGCAACAGCAGCGCGGCACACTGCAACATCCGCCGCTGCCCAACAGCAACATCAAGCAAGCCTCCGTCAAGCTGATCGAGGGCTATTCCGATCCGAAGGATACGCGACATCACAGCCAGCACAAGAAGGTCTATCACAAGAAGGCCAAACGCCGCTCGGCGCCGTTGCACAAGCAGCGACAGCAGCAGCAGTTGCAAACGCTGCCAACTCCGCGCGGACATCAACAGCAGTTGCAGCAGCAACAGCAGCAGCAACAACAGCAGCAATTGCTGCATCGCCATTCCACATACAACAATAATAACGGCAATCATAAGAAGGACAAGCGCAACAGCCACTACAACTCAGGTGAGCAACAATAAGCAACAACAGCTGGCAACAATTACAGCTAGCAACAATTGCCAGAAAGACCGACAACAGCTAGCAACAAGCTCTAGCTACAATAGCAGCTAGCGACAATAGCTATATCAACTAATGTCGTCTTCCGCAACATTTGCTAACAGCATAAATAGTTGGCAACATTTTGAACTAGCAACAGCACCCAATAAGATCAGCTAGCAACAATTGCCAACAACAATTAGCGACGACATAAGTCAGCAACAGTTAGCAACTAGAAGCTGGCAACAATAGTTAGCAACATTAAAAGATAATTTTTGGATTAGGAACATTGGTTAGCAACAAGTGCAATTAAGAACTATATCAGCTAGTAACGCCATCTAGCTAGCAACAATAATAACCAAAGCTTCGATCAGCAACATTAGCTAGCAACATAAGCCCTTTTGCAGTTAGCAACACTTCAGCTAGCAACAATTGCGTCGAACAAAAAGACCTGCAAAAGTCAGCAACAACAACTGACAACATGTTGCTGCATGCAGTTGCCCAACTTAATTCAATTCTTTATAGATGTTAAATTATAGAACTATTTGTTTTAGATTCAAATCATAGATTTTTACATATATGAACCCCACATTATGCAGTAAACCGATTTCTTTAGCATTTTCTAGACAAATGTTGCTAACAATGCAGCAAAGTGCTTAAAGCGTTGCATACTTTTAGGAGTCAGCTAAAAAAAAATTACAAATTTGGTAACAAGCAACGAGCTTTGTAGAATTATTGCTACATGCTTTTGTAAAAGCAGGGACGTGGCTTTGTGGGTGTGGCAAATAGATGCAGTGGGCAGACAGCTCTAACTGCGGCTGCGGCTGCCGAGATCAGCCAGGCGTTAAATGGCAACTGGCAGCCATTCGACTGAGACGCAAGGAGCGAGAGAGGCCCAGACAGGGGAAGAGAGCAAACGATAGAGCGAGTAACGCATTGCCAAGCAGCCAAGCGCCTAATAGACTGCGACAGAGACGCGCCAAAAAGCACGCCAAGGATGCGGAGCCCACTGACTGCCCTTTGGCTCATTTGCCTGGCGACTCAATTAACTGTGCGAGGATAGTTACAGCAGCGGATTGCGGGCTGCCTGCACTTGCGTCTAATTTCTCGTAATTATAAACAAAAATCTCAAGTCTGACAAGCGGCTAAATTGTTCTTGACAGTTTGGACAGGACAGCAAAGCGGGCAGACATGGCTGACTTAAAGCTGCCTACACCTAAGTCTGTTAATTAGACTTGCTAAAAAAGTTTGAAGTCTCTGAATTGCTACAGATTAATTGATATTTGCTGCTTGGAGCATTGCAAACCTCAAAGCCAATTGAAATGCTTTAGAGTTAGCTCAGCTCAGTTATAGAGAGGCTGGAATCAAGCGAGAGTTGGGCGTAAGCTGTGCTAGAATGAGCCTAGGGCAAGCTCTGGCTTAGGTTGAGTTGAGCTAGAGAGCGACTGGGCTAGAGCTTAGACCTGGTCAAGTTCGGGTCAGATTTGACTTGTCTGGGTTAGTTTCAAGTTTGGTCCAGTGATTTAGGTCTGAGCTGAGTGTCAGGGAGAAGCGAGCGCAAGGAACTTTCAAGGTAATTGAACAAAATCTAATGTCTTGCCTTGCAGATTCCTCGGCGCCCAAGTCCTCCGACGAGGAGGCGGACATAGACGAGGAAGTAGAGCGTGCCGCGCCAGCAACAGCAGCAGCAGCAGCAACCGGAACTGGAACTGGAACTGGAACTGGAACTGGCACTGGAACTGGAACTGGCACTGGCACAGGTGCAGCTGCAGCTGGAGCCTTACTCAATTCACCGGACAGCATATCGGATGATCTAGTTCGTCCGTTGCCCGCGCAGCTGCAGCGCAGTCCACGCAAATTGACGGTCGCCCAGGCGGAGCACAGCAAGCGCCAGCCGTCGCCGTATTACTACTCGGACTTGCTCAAGACTCGCGACAAGGAGGAGGAGAAGCCGACGCTCGAGCGCGAGGCAAAGCAAAAGTGCCGCCAGTCGACGGCCAGCGAGCCGCCGCAGCAGACCCTAACGCAGCCCCATCGACTGGGCGGCTATCGCAAGAGCAGCAGCCTAGATGCACCACAGCCTCAGCAGCAGCAGCAGCAACAAGAGGAGCAACTGCTGCAGAGGGCAGCAGAGGCAGACCTAGACAACGATCCAGCTGAGCTCGAGGAGGCGACCTGCCTGACCGAACAGTCAACACCGAAACGCTACAGCTTCACAGAGGAGGGCGTACGCATTATACGCTGTGAGACGCCCAGCACCAGCACCTCGGAGGAGTCCGATTGCAGCGAGTGCTTGAAGCGGCGCGAGTGGCACGCCCGCGCCTTGGCGCTCGTGCGTAAGACGTGCAACGTCCAGCCGCGGCAACAGTTGTCCATTGGCAGCGGTGAACTGCAGTTGCAGCTGCAGCACTGCGACGCCGGCGAGGGTGAGCTGCTCAAGTGCTGTCCGCCAGCGATTGGGGGAGTAGGAGTGGGAGTGGCCGTTGGGGATTTAGCGTGCGAGTCGATGCCGCCGCACCGCCTGCTGGGCCCAGCAGCCGTGTGCGGAGCCTGCATACCGACGCCCAACAAGACGCTTGGCCTGGGCCACGGCGATGAGGAGCAGCTGGATGAGCTGGAGGAATACTTTAGGCCACGCAGCATATTCTATGTGCATCCGCATGGCGTGCACGAATGCGTTGAATGTGCGCCGCCAGCTAAGCTAGAGGAGCAGCACTCAGAGCTAAAGCAAACACTTGCTAACGAGCAGGGGGAGCCGCCGCAGCAGCAGCAGCAGCAGGCAGAGGAGGCGGGCGAGGGCGAGGCCGAGGACGAGGAGGGTGACGAAGGGGAGGAATACGATTCCGACAACATGGCAAGCCGACGACGTCAGATCTATGAGACGGCCTTCGACTGCAAGATAGCCAAGTCGGACGATGATCTGGATGAAGTGGACCGCATTACCAATCACTCGGTCTTGCTGCAGCTCAACAGCAACAGCAACAGCAACAGCAACAGCAATGGCAACGAGCTATCCGTGCCGTCCAAGTCGCTAAGCAAGAGCCGTCTCGAGTGCAAACGCGCTAAGAATAGTAAAAATCAAGCGCTGCAGCAGCAGCAGCCACAGCAGCAGCAGCAACAGCAGCAGCAGCAGCAGCAGCAGCAACAGCCGCAGCAGGAGTCACCTGAAGGACAATGCCAGGTGGTGCTGCAGGTGCAGGCAGAGCTAAGCCAGCTGCAGCTCAGCCAAACAGCAGATCAACAGAATCAGAATCAGCAGCAGCAGCAGCAGCAGCAGCAGCAGCAGCAGCAACAGCAGCAGCAGCAGTCGCAACAGTTGCCGGCGCGTGGCTATACGCCCTCGCCGCCCTCTACGGCGCCGCTGCCCATCAAATTTCCGGGCAAGCACGAACGCTACATGAACAGCATAAAGAGTGCACCGAATCTGCCAGCTGCGCAGCCGGCGCATCCGCGACTGCGGGACTTGCGGTTGCCGCTGCAGGCATCGCTGCGTCAGCAGCAGCAGCAGCAGCAGCAGCAGCAACAGTTGCAGCTGTGCGCCAGCAGCAATGACAACAGTCTCACCGACAGCGCCTACGTGAATCCGCCCTCAACAAATTCGAACTCGAATTCAGCTGTTGCCTCCACCTCGGCGTCGTCGCGGCGCCCGCGCAGCTTTGTGCTGGAGTCGGGGCGCGTGCTGGAGCTGCGTCGCAGCGCACATCACCAGCAGCAGCATGCACAGCAGCAACACGGCAAGCAGCAGCCACACTTGCCGAAGCCCAGGCACAACTACAGCTCCACCGAGAGCATTGCCACCTCGTCGAGCGGCGGCAGCATGGAATCGTTGCGCAGCAGCACCAGCGAAGGCAATCGCAGCACCTCCAGCTCTGAATCGCGCCACTCCAGTTCGCTCAGCTCGCACAGCTCCGAGAGCAGCAACAGCAACAGCAACAGCGCCAGTGCCAGCGCCAGCGCCAGTGCCAGCTCGAGTGTTGCCTATCCGCTGCGTGCACCGGTGCTGCTGCACTCCAAGCTGCACATACTCAGCCCCATATCGGACAAGTCTTCGCAGGAGCCGGCCTCCGAGCAGTCGCAGCAGCCAGCGACAGCAGCTGCTGGCACAGCCAGCCTGCAGGAGGAGTCCGCCACAGATGCGGCTGCTGCGGCTGCTGCTGCTGGCGGCAGCTCGTCTGTGCCTGTCCAGCTGCTGGTGAAGCAGCAGCGCAGCGGCAGTCAGCGGGCAGCAGCTGCGGCGCCCAACAAGGCGCTGCTGCACCTGGCCGACGAGCTGCTCGGCTCGGACAGCGGCATCTCCTTGCACTCGCGAGAGGATGGCAAACCAACGAATCTGGCGCTGCAGCGCCTGACGCTGCCCAAGCTGCAGCTGGGCAATGGCAGCGCCGCGGATACATCCTCTTCGGCAGCAGCGGGCATCTCTTCGGCAGCACCGGCGGCAGGCGGTGCTGGTGGCGCCTCAGCGCTGCCGCAGGAGCTGCGCGACTTGCCCTTCGATATGCCCAAGCTGCGACGACGCAAGACGCTGCAGCAGGAGGCGGCCTGCACCTCGGGCAGTGCCACCTCCGTTGATCTGGGCGATCTGCCCTTCGATATGCCCAAGCTGCGCAGGCGGCTGCGTGCCAATCAAGCGGAGATCAATAATCTGCTGATGCACAGCACCGAATCCAGCGGCATTTCCCAGGCATCCTCCAGCCACTCGATGCGCGACGAGCAGAAGCTGGCCAGCAAGCTAGGTGAGTATGAGTGAACTGAGTACTCGAATTACACTTAATTACTCGCAATTACTTTAGTAATTAACCAAAAGTAATTGACAAGGATTTTTCTGATGGATAATTGAGTTCATTACGCTTGAATTACATTTAAATAATTGCAATTACTTGAAGTAATTACTTTTAATTACCATTACAATAGCCATTGCAGGCATTAGCCTTGAGGAAAAAACCCTTTATTTGTATGAATTGCCTTCAGGTAATTGCAATTACTTGCGAGTAATTAAAATTACTTTTGTGTAATGAAAGTAATTTGAGGGAATCTAGCTTTAAATATTGTCATTTTATAGTAGACTTCACATGCTCAACTCTTTCTCTCTCTCTTTCTGCTCGTAGATACAGCGCTCTTCCGTCAGAATCTCACATTGAATCTGAATGAGCCACGCCAGGTGAACAAACAGTTCGGCAGTCTCGATCTGCGCGGCTTGAGCAGTCACAAGGAGCTCAACATGAATCTGGGCCAGGGCTACGTAACGGCTGTCGATCTAATAGACGTGACCATACCATTAGAGCGTCAAGGGTACGCATAGCTAGCTGTCTCTTTCTATTACTCTCGTGTTGACCCGCTCTCTCTCTCTCTCTGTCGCCCTCCTTCTAGCTGGTACCATGGCGCTATAACACGCATCGAGGCGGAGACAACGTTGCGTCCTTTGGCCGAGGGCTCGTTCCTGGTGCGCAATTGCGAGTCTACCAAGCAGGACTATTCCCTGTCGCTCAAGTAGGTCAATGAGTCTTAACACTAGTGAGCAGCTAAGCTAAACTCTGTCTCTCTCTCTCTCTCTCTCGCTCTCACAGAGGCGCCAAGGGCTTTATGCACATGCGAATCCAGCGCAACGAGGCCGGACAGTACATCTTGGGTCAGTTCAGTCGACCCTTCGAAACGGTGCCCGATATGATACGACATTTCTGCCTGAATCGCCTGCCCGTCCGTGGCGCGGAGCACATGTGTCTGATTGAGCCGGTCATAGCGCAGCTGCTGTAAACTAACAGAGCTGTTAACGCAGAAATGTTAACTTGAGGCACGTCGCAGCTGTGCATGGGCAGAGAAAGCAACATACATATTGATATATAGCATATAGAGACAGCTCTATAAATATACTCTTTATATATACATATGAACAAGCATATATATCGAACGGTAGCTCGACAGATCGATAGATCGATGTGTCGATAAGTCGCTATATCGATATGTATGCATTATATATGCACTCTAGTCATATGCTCTAGTCTTAACTACAATTTGTTTCTACTCACCGCACTTCTGGTATGCTCTCTATTAACCTTCATTTTGGATCAATTAGCACGCAGAACAGAAAAGCAAATTATGTTAGAGCAGAGTACACACGAACTATGTAGCTTAGTGTTCAGAAATCAGAAATAGCAAGAGACAGACAAAGAGGAAGAGCAAGAGAAAGAGAAAAAAAAAACAAGTACGTAGCACTTTCAGACAATACGAGAACAAAGCAGATCGCATAAACCAAATTCAATATTTATACACAATATACATGATATATATATATGAGGATATATATATATATATATATATTTATATAATCTAACTAGATCTAGAAACAAAAGAGCACTTGACAGTTGCTAGACGTAGTAGACACACACACTAACACACACACACACACATACGATATTTATATATAAATATTTTTTTTTTGTTTCTTTTGTGTATTCGTAAATCACGATAACAATTCGATATCTATTCGTAACTAGCGATTATCACGCGTATATTAAATACTTGCAAAGTCTAAGAATACTACGTAGATGACACCAACACCAACACACACACACACACACACACACTCAGTGATCAGAACTCACTTACATTTGAAGCCTCGTTCACACGGCACGTTTACACGAAGTTCGCTTTCTTTGCGCTTTCTTCGTTTTTGACTCGAAACGGATAAAAAGCTAACAATTTGTTAATTAATTTTATGTTCGAAACTAATATATATATATACTAATATATATATGTGTATCGATCAGTGTTATCGATAGTTAGATTTATCGTAACTTATCTAGAAGGCGTAATAACTTCATATATATATTTTTTTTCCTAGTTTTAGGCCAGGCATGCAAACGTAGAGCGCTCAAAGCGTTTTCGATTTTTGGATATGAGTAGAAAGACGTCTATCGACTAGGGCGCTATCGTTATCGTTATCGATATCAATATCGTATGGCAAGGATATAGCAACGCATATGAACAACTTACGGTTTTAAGTGTTAGTTTCTAATATCTCTCTCTCTCTCTCACTCACTCTCTATATATAGAGTCAAGCACGGGCTAATTAAGCATTATATATATCTATATATATATATATGATTATATATATTCAACACAATATTAAGAGCAGTCAATGGTTTTTTGGTTCCAGAGCAAAAGAAAACGAAAGAGAAAAGAGAACAGAGAACAGAAATGAAAGAGTTGGATGCTTCAGATCTGACAGCATTATCTATCTATATGTGCAATAAATGAGTTTAGTTTTCGATGCAAATTATGTTTTTTATGTGTGCCAAAAAGTATTTAAGTATTATTATTATTATTATCATTGCCATTGCCATTGTCATTATCATTGTCATTATTCAATATATTTTTATAACTAGAGATTTTTGTTATTTGTTGTCTAATTTGTAAGTCTGGCAACGCCGTGCAATACGCAGACCATTTCACCTTAACTTACCTTAACCCTATGCGTTTTACCACACTGCTTTTACGTTATGCAACACTGTCTCTACTTAGAAGCGAGAGCCACACACATCGAGTATATATGTATTTATTGAGTTAAGCTTGATCCAGAGAGCTGCGAAGTTGTAAATATATTTATCTATATAACACTCACACACACACATATATATCTATATATACAAGCTATACGAAAACCAAGAATATTTGATTTTATTTGCAATAAAATTTTAATCATAAGATTTCCATGTTTCCACACAACAAATTCAACTTGAAAGCAAAATTCTTAAGTATAGCAACAAATTATGTTGAGGCTTCCAGCAGGAGTAGGCAGTGGAGCGAAGCACACAGCAGAACGAGAGAGGGGCAGGGAGAGAGAGGTGGAGTGAGGGAGAGAGAGAGAGAGAGTGACAAAACAGAACTCTAAAAGTAATTTTTCTCTCTCTCGCTCCCCCACTCCCGCTCCCACTCCCTCCCCACTCGCTGTCTCTGTGACTTTCTCTCACTGTCCTGCACATGTGTCAAACTATAAAACCGAACACCAAAACAACACAAATTTAAACGATAACAACAACAAATATTAATGAGAGATGAAAACAATGAACAGCAACAAATGCAAAAATACAAATTTAATAAACATCAACCGAAGAGAAAAGGAAAAACAAAACCAAAAACGAAATGTATTTAATAAATAAATAAAAAACATAAAAAACAATAAAAAAAAACTTGAAAAAAATTAGACAAAGCTGCCTTTTGGGATTTATCGATAACAGAGGGAGAGAGCGAGGGAGACGCTGATGCAGATGGATGAACGAACAGAGTTTGCTCTATTGCTACTAAATGGGGCATGCCACGCCTTCCTTTGCCTGCTGCAAACAAGATAGTAAGTATACTCAGCCCATGGGAAATGCTACATCCTGCATAAAAAGGGATATCCTTGACCGTCCTTGACCAAGCAAAGTGGCTCAGTTATTCCAGTTTGTCCTCGTTCAACATCTTCCTTTTTCTAGTGAGTAGCATATGCTTTATATGTTCAAGGATCTACTAGGATATGGCCAGATATTTGCGCAATGTCCTTTGGCATTCAAGGATATTAGGGATTAGGGGGACGTCGGTTTGGGAAGCAGCAAAGACAGAAGGACTTCAAGCACAACTTAACCTTAGGTGTATCAACCTTGAGGACTCACAGACGAGCAAAAATCGATGCTGTCTAGATGAAGCCATAAGCCTCGAAAGAGGACAGTACCTTGGAGTAAGCCTGGCAGCATCTTAAACGGCATCTGAAGCTTCATCTGAGAGTTACTTTCGTGACCAAGTGGGAGCAGAAAAAGGGTCAATGGATCCGTCAGGATACTCGTATTATTCATGCTCCACATGTGTGATCGATGATCCCACGATGCACGACCATTCCACAGCCTTAACCCAGTTACACCTTTGCCCATGAAAAGGAGTTTCACTGGACAAACATATTTAAAGCGAGCAAGGACAAGAAACACATTCGTTCCGTTTACGTAAACATTTTATTAAATCGTTCTGCCGCAAATAGACAGCGCATATCGTAAGTACGTATGTGTGTGTGTGTTAAGCTTAGTATGTCTGATATATGCCTACCAACAGGTAAGTGTATATTTGTATATGTGTACGTAATATATTATATTCAATAAATTATATAGACTTGGTGAAACTTGCACTTGAAACTTGCACGAAGAATTATTTACAACAGACCTCAAGGATGTTTTTGTATTCCTCTCTCTCTCTACACATTAGGTAAGTACATGCCTCTCCTTTCCTTTCCTTTGCCTTCCCTTAGCAGAAGTCTAATTCGTTGCTGGTATATGGATGGGGTATTCCCCTCTCGACTCCATGACATTATCATATCTAGATATATATATTAGCCCAACTTGGCCATACAAGAAAAAACAAAAAAAAAAGAATAATTTTGGAAACTGTCAGGAGCTGGGACTGCCTGTGTTTAGTGCTTGGGGCAATTTAAAGTAATAATTTGGTGTGCTGTGCTTGGCTGGGGCCTAGATGGCCGCCTCGATGCCCTCCGCGTTCTTCTTGATGAGGCTCTCCCACTGCGCGATCAGGCGATGCGACGAGGGTGCCTCCTCTGGCGTCAGGTCACAGAGCTGGGCCAGCGACATGGCTGGCCGCATGCCTGAATTGGAACCGGACTTGCTTAGTACATGACTACCGCCGCCATTCGAGAGAACGGCGGCGGCATTCAGGCTACGGTTGCCCGCCGACTTGTGGCCCATCAACTCCTGGTCGTTGCTGGCAAGGAAAGAGAGAGAGCAAAAGCAAACGTGGAATGTTAGTATACGAGCTGCTGGCACCTCAAGACCTCGGACCCTAACACTCAATGGCCTAAAGTCTCAGCTTACTTCAGCTAAAGTCAAAGACAACTCTGATCAGTTTTGCATTGAAATAAATAGCTAAAGTCGAAGCAAGTTCTTTGTCGTCCTTAGTAACTCTATGTGAACACTCCAGCCTTTCTACTTCCCTTTCTACTTTGGCTTAAGACTCACTCAGCTTTCTGAAGATCGTCTTGGAGCTTCAACTTCTTCCATTCGATCGCTTGTGTTACTAAAGTAAACTTTTCACTTCAGGCTAAGCAGTTTCTCCTTGCAGCAAGAAATCTGGTTTTAGGTAAGGTCTTTCCTCGCTTCGTCTAGGACTCCTTTGTTCTTGCTTATGTAGCTCATTCTCCTGGCTCTCTTCAAGTACATATGAGCTCTTGGCTATCCTGAGATCTGTCTCTGCCCTCTATCTAATGTCTGCAATACTTTTTGTCATTTTCCTCTTGTATTCACCGATGGATCCTCTGTCGCTTGACAGCTTTCTGCTCTTCTCATTCATGTACCCCATTCAATGTCCTCAGTCTCCTTGCACCTTCTTCCTGCAACGTCGAGCTGCCGATCTTGAGCTACCCCCAGACACTTACCTCTCTCTTTCGAGCTCGAGTGTGGATTGCGCATTGCGCAATTTGCCTGGTCCGTAGCAGTGTTCCACCTCGGAGTCGTCATCATCGTCATCGGCATCGGCCTCGTCGTCTGTGCTCAGGTGTCTGGCATGGCAAAGAGTAGGTGTTAAAGGGACGTTAGCTTAGCGGACTCGACCCACTGCACTTACAGCTTCTCCAGCATATGTTGGCGATTGAGCTTGCGCAGGCGCTTCAGCTCCGACTCGCGGCATTTGAGATCCTGCAGCTCGCGCTGAATCTTCTGCTCGACGGGCACGTAGCCGCGTCTCAGCGGCCTGCCCTCGGAGTCTCGCTCGATGTTGTTGTTGCTGCTGACGCTAATGTTGCTGTTGTTCTTGTTGTTGTTGTTGCTGTTGCTGCTGCTGTTGTTGTTGCTGCCGTTGCTGTTGCTGCTGTTCGAGGGCGAGGTGCGACCCGATTCCAGGAAGGCCAAGGCATTGCGCGAGTTCAGCTTGAGCGTCGAGCTGTTGCCATTGGCCAAGAGCAGGGGCTGCCCAGCCGACTGTCCCAGCTGCAGCTTGCCGTGGGAGGCAATGAAGCGCTGCATCACGCCCTTTGTGGCGCCATTGAAGGCGAATTGTCGCTTCTGCTGCTGCAGCTGCGGCGTGGCCTGCGTCCTGGTCATCAGCTTCTGTTGCGGCGGCTCTGGCGTCAGGTTGTAGCAGTTGGGTCCAATGTAACGCGACTCCTGCCGGCCCGCCAGGTTCAGCTTTAGGCCAGCCTTGCCCTCCGGCTTGCTGTTGTTGTTGCTGCTGGCCTTCTGCGAGGATGCCGAGATGCCCGAGTCATCCGAATGCTGTTCGTCCAGGCTCTCCTCCTTGTGGCTGCTGTTGTTGCTGTTCACGCTGGACGCCAGCGAGGGCGACTGCTCCTCGATGGGCACCAGCAGCGACGTCACAGACGCTGGCTGCGCCGTCACCAGCACGCCCTGGTCCACCTGATCCCGCCCAGCCTCCAGCTGCTGCTCCAACTCGTCGCCATTGCCATTCAGTGCGAAGTTCACTGCGATCGGCGGCGACGTTGGCTGCGCTGCAGCCGCTGCCAGCGCTGCAGCCGTTGCCAGCCGGCGATATTCCTTTTCGCGGCGCTCCACCTCCTTGATCTCCTCCTGAATGCGTAACAATGGATCCATTTTCTACAAGAGAGCAGCAGAGACAGAGGGAGAAGGTTAGGTAATTCGATATCTCCGTGCGTCTTTGTGTGTGGCAAGCAGGAAGCGATCCGATAACAAATCGTATTTGTGTAATCGAATACGATGACAAAACGAGGCGCTGCAGCTGCCAGCTAGCGGCTACAGTGAGCACTGCCTAAGCGAATCAATTGAATAGAAAGCGAGACGTGAGACACAGATAGAGAGCGCGTTAAGTATACGACTGAACGATACCCTGTAAGCCATGGCACCTCTAAGACTTTAACAACAGTGGAGACTGCCTACAGCAGAGTCTATGCAATCCAATGTATACCCTGTAATCTCAAGCTATAGACATGTGAAATCGTAGCACTGCCTTGGCTTAGCTACAGTAAAAACTGTTAAGGAACTGTCACAACTTAGCGAAGATCTACTTCAAGGAGTATTAAGCCTTTAGATACACTGTAATGCAGAGCTGATTAGAGAAAACGGACAATTTCTGCTTTGTGTATTTAGCTGACGTTGGTTCAGCTTGTGCGCCCTAGCGAGTGCCCACTGTAGACTGAATTATGTTATGTGATGAAGCGAAAATGTTGCAGCTGCTGCACTCAGAGAGGGAGAGGGAGAGGGGCGGATGACAGCGCAGAAGAAGTAGATGGAGTCGAGGCTAAAGAGGTGCAGCAGGGTAAGGGCAGGGGGGGAGGTGGGGTGTTGGGGCTCAGCTGAACCGAATGGAGTCAGCGTAACGAACTGCGTTAAGCGACTTTTGATGCGTGCGATCGCAAAAGTTGCGTGACATTTGGACTTTAAATTGAATTCCAAACAGCAAACAAAAGGCGCACGAGACACGAGAGGGGCGGGGCGGGGCGGGGGCCTGAGAGGCTGTTCGGCTGTTCGGCTGCTCGGCAGAAATGCTAAACACACACGAAATGAAACAAGCGAGAGTAAAAGTGTTTGAAAGTAAAATATATAATAATAATAAGCAACAACAACAACAACAATAACAATGGGAGTGAACAGGTTGTTGTTGCTGTTGCCGTTGTCACATATTATGGATGATGGGCGTGACAAAGGTGACCTCAAAGTTATGACACCGCATGCCATAAAAAAAACAACAGAAGAAGGGCGAGAGGCACAGTGGGTGGGAGGAGGCGGAGGGGGGCACAGTGAGTGAGAAAAATTAAAATGAAAAATTGTAAATGAAAATGAAAATGAAAATGGGAAGCTTTTAGCGGATGCGGTTGAGTGGGCTGTAATGCGATATAAATATAAGTATAAATATATATATATATATATATATATATATATATGTGTGTGTGTATGTGTGTGTGTGTGTGTGAGGAGCACGTGGGGTGGGAGATATGAGGCAGAGCTGGAGGTGAAACGTGAGGCTATACAATTCAAATATTTGCATTTCATTAAGTAGGAGTTTCTGCTAGGGAAGCCTAACAACAGATGAAGAGAGCGAGAGAGAGAGAGAATAGAGAGGGAAAGAGAGAGAGAGAAATGTAGAGATAGACTTAGAGATGCGGAGAAGTAATAGACAGAGATGGAATGAAAGAAACAGGTTAGAATAGAAGGGAGAGAGCAAGAGATAGCGAGATGGAGAGAGTGAGAGTGAGAGATAGATTGAGAAGCAGAGAGCGAGACATAGAGAAAGAAAAAATAGAGTGCAGTATAAATAAAGCGAGAGAGACAAAAAGAGAAAAGGAGAGAGTAGAAAGGAAAGAAAGAGAAAGACATAAGCGGCAGATGCACATAAAGAGATAGAGGGAGATAGACAGACAGAAAAATAAAGAGAGGCGAGCAGAGAGACGGAGACGGGTAGAGAGAGGGAGAGAAAGGAAGAGAGAGAGAGAGAGAGAGTGAGGCAGATAGGGATAGACAGAAAGAGATAGATGCATACAGAGAACAAGAGAGAGAGTGAGATATAGAGAAAGATATATAGATAAGCATAGCGAACATATATAAATACATATATACACTGATGTGTGCAGGTGACAAGGTGAGCGGAGAGAGATGATTATGCAAAAGAAAGCCAATTTGATTTGAGAACTTACAAAAAGTTCCTTCGTCTTTCAGGGCGAAAACAAGAAAAAGCTATTCACGCTTGTTGCGGGGGGCCTCTGGAGTGCGTCTAGCGGCAGTGGCAGAACGCAATTGAGCCAGCTCGAGGCGGGCAGAGCTTTATATGAAAGTGGATTTCAATGGCAGAGCAACAGATCGGGAAGCATATGTGCCACTGGGCAAATCTATTTCGCATATCTTCGTCAGCCAGGGCTGCCAGCAGCTGTGTCTGGATGCAGATTCTCGCAGCTCAACTCTAATCGGCGCAAAGTTGTTGGAGGCAACAGCTGTTTAGATGGTAGTCGAGTTCAAGTCGTACCAGTCGAGGCGACGGGGAGGCAACTGACTGTCAAGCAATTTAACTGCTACTGCCAAACTTTGACAGGCAGTTATCAGCTCATTAATAGTTAAATGGAATCAACTGAAGTTTTACGCGCTAATTAAACTAAAGTGCATGTTAAAGTGCTCGTCAAATGTTTGTTTAATGGTTGATTAAGTTCTGCTAAGTGCGTGTCAGAATTGAAGCCTCCCATTCACTCGTTTTACAACACTAATTGGCCAATGTCTTGAGGGCCAGTTTATATTGTCGTTTTTTTTGGCCAAACACGTGTTAAGTGCTTGTCAAATTTAACAAGCAGATGCGAAATACTAGGTCTTCAGCTTTCTAGCGCTTCTACAACACCACTTGACATGGACTTCTCCAGCAAAGTGTGGGTCATCACATGCCAAGTTCCTGTTAAACTTAGCAAGAAGATGCGAGCTGCCCCACTGTCGTTTTACAACACTGTTCGACTATTAGCTATTCTATTTTATGCAGACAATGTCATTGTTGGCCAAATGACAAGTCAATTAGCAACGACTGCAGCATCTGCAGCATCTGCAGCAGCTGCTGCCGCCGTGATCTGTCTTTAGCTGATTTCACGATTCTCTGAGCAGAAAAATTCTTGCTGATTAAATGCAATTTAGCAGCTAAACACTTCCCCCAGCGGCGACAAATGGCAGAAATGCCACAGCGACAGACAAATGACAGGAATGCGGGAAATGCTCGGGGTGTGCGGTGGGCGGGTGCATTGCCTAAAGGTTAAAGTTTTTGCTGGCAACATGTTGCGGGTCAGCGCATTGGCCCATAGAGGGCGCTGCGTCTTTATGTGGGTGCGTCAACTGTTGGGGTCTGTCTCTTGCTTCCGCATAGTCGTTGTTGCTGCTGTTGCTGTTGCTGTGTCGTATTCGCATTAGAAAGTGGCAACAAATGCCGTTGTCTGCCACTAAGTAGCCAGCGATGGCGGAGCAAAAACGCAAGTCGGAAACATGGCAGCACAGGTAACACAGGCAACATTCAGCTGACAAATGCAATTTGCTTTGTTGTTGTTCGAGGCTCATCAAATTTTTGCGCAATTCGATGCAGATTTTCACTCAATTGTGCGTTAAACTCAACGCGAACACAGACAAACGAAAGAAATAAAGAAAAAAAAACCCGCCAAACTGTCGTTTTCACCGGCTTAAGACAACAGCAACAACAACAACAACAAACCGCTGCCTAAATGTTGTACATAATGTTAGTTTCGATATAGCCAGCAACAAGTTGCTAGTAACTAGTTGGCAACATGTGACAGCAACACACACAATCATACACACACATGTAACCTCCAAAGTGCAATGGCAGCAGCTGCCAATTTGACAGCTGTTGTTACCCTGTTGTTTCCCCTTCTTTTTGCTTTTCTACTTTACCGCAACTCTTTCTACTAATTTTTTCTCTATTTTTTTTTTTTACTGCTTGCAATAACGGCAATTGGGATAGCGCATGTCCAAGCCAAAGTCGCTGGCCCAAGCTGAACTCATTTGCATGTAGCCGGGGTCAGTAGCTAAGCGCCAGAGCAGCACAGACAGTGCGTCTGTCCCTCTTAGTTGCTCTGGCACATGCGAAATGTGCCCAAAGATCGCCAAGAACACGAAAGAGCATAGCAAAAGACACGAAGACAAAAAATTAGCAACAACAAGAAGAACAGCAGCAGCAGCAGCAACAACAGAACGTGACGAGAAACGTGACCGTGACTTGACTGCATGCGCTCTCTTGCTTACTCTCACGCTGGCTGGCCTAGCGCTCTCACGCTTCAACATTTTTTGCTCCACTTCCAGCTAAAGCATAACAGCAAATAGCAACGTCGACTGCGCAGCTGACAGCGCTGCTAACGGGGTGGGCCATATCGTTTCCAGCCGAGTGATCAGCGCATTAGCATGATATTCATAATGTATTTCAGACTTGACGATCATCACGTTAAGGCTGATCGTAATGATGTTTGATGATGCTGCGGCAGCGCGTCAAAAATAACAACAACTGCTGTACACGTATTTAGGGCATTTCATTTAACGTTTTTTGTTTTGGATACTTTTTTCGCTTTGTTTATGTTTTGTTGCTCTGCTCCTCACAGTCAGCAACGTAGCTGCAATCGAAGCGTGCAAAAAAAAGCAAATGCAACACAAGAGAGCAACACAGAGAGAAAGAGAACGCGATAAAAAGGGGGTGTGTAGTCAAATTTTTGGCCTGCCAGGCATTTGGGTCAACAACAGTTATGATAGCTGCTATGTTGAGTTTAATGTTAATGCTAATGGCGCCGTTGAAAGGATGCCAAGCCAATCAAAATTAGCTTCAATTGTGTGCTTATGACTGATTGGGTGTGTTCGCTGTCCGGCGGCAACGGTTAAATGGCAGTCGATAACTGTTGTTGTTGATTTGTACTGACCGCCATTTGCTATCATTAGGTTCGGAAAATTGTCGAACTGGTCTCTTCATTTATTTATAGCTTCTCCACAAATTGAAATGTATTTAGCATATCTAAAGATTTCGCTTAATTTAAAAATTTCTTGCTTCACACTTTAAATGTTAGAAATTGTGTTGTTCAAGTCGAGTTGTTGATAATCATTTGAATTCTATATAATTA